ATATATATATATATATATATCCGTACATATGTAGGATACAGGAAAATATTTAGAAGTGAGAATTATAAGAATTCACTGTTGTCATTGGGTTACATAAGAATCACCACGCAGAAACTGAGGACCAGAGGTTGGTGTTAGACATTAAATAATCGTGAGGTTTACCCATCCATCGATCTGTCAAACTAATTACCTATTAAATCAAACAAACATGTCTCTATCGAACTACGTGTCTGTATAATTACCCAACTATCCATCTGCGCATCTATTCATCTATCAGTCAACCCATCTACTTATCAGACTATCCATCTCTTTATCAACATATCTCCATCTATCTTTGTCTATATCTGCCAACAATCTATCTATCCGACTACCTCCATTTCTAACTCCATCTATATAGTTATGGATGTTCGTCGGGGAATACGAAATATCTTGCCACAACTTTAACAATCCACACGGACGCAGCTTGTTTTCACACTATGGCAAGATAGACACCATTATGCAGTTTTATGTACTCTAGCTACAACGATTGTGTACTACCTCACGGTAATTTTGTCAAATATCTTGTTGTTAAAGTATCGCCTGGTATAACGTGGTATAAACGCCTATTCGAAAGCAAGAGCATATTTAAACGATTTGGTCACCTACCTCATCAAACGGACGTCATAAGACTAATTGCTCAGAGATGAAGTTTTAAAACTGACTTAGTCTAAGCTCCCCTTCATTCCAAAGATCTTTTACACTCTAAAACTACCCTAGATTTTGGCGTTGGTGGTTGAGTTTTCCGTTTTTCGTACGTATATTTCCCATACACACACTTCTCCGTTGCCCGAGAAGAGCGGCTTGTCTAAAAATTCACCAGCGGTTTGGTAAATGGATGACTGGTAGCCTAATCTAACTTTTCCGGAGCCCAGAGAAACATAGTGAGAGAACGCGACAAATTATATATATATATATATATATATATATATATATATATATCAGTATATTGTGCTCCTTATTTTCAGCGGATAAGGAGAGCCTATATAATGAAATCGATGTGGGCGGGTCATTAGTTCTAATTTGCTTGAACTTAGCACTCACCGTGACTAACAAGCAGACAATTGTCTAGTTCATGCTGCGCAACTATCACTTTGACGTTGTTACTAGTTCCTGAACTACACTCCAAGCATAACTAGGAATTCCGCTCCGCGCATATTTATCACATCTTGTGCTCGTACTATGGCAGAGAACATACTTGGCTATGATTCACTTATTGGGTGTTCTTGCTAACTACAGTCCTTGACAGATAGTCCAACCAATTGGTCGCATTCGTTATTCAAAATAGCCAAACAATAGTTCACTGGACGCCTCGCCCATCGCGCCACTTTAGGTCTTCAATTTGTCACCAGTTTAGATTTTCATTGTTTCTACCTTCAGTGTTTCTCCGTTTTTCTCTATTACAGCTCTGTTTCAGCTCGTTTACAAACACCTTCCGTTCACACTGGAACTTCACACTGTAATTGCCAGCATTTCGTGGATGTACTATCAACTGTGGCTCAATGAACCAGAGGTAATATTTGTTCAAATCGGAACCTTTTTCTCTCTTTGTTTGGAAGGTTGAGGGCAGGTGGGAACTACTAGATATTGCTGACCTCCCAGATTGTGCTTACCCATCGCAACGTTGAGTACACTTCCTTAGTGAAATGCACTCGTTTGCATACCAATTCGGTTTTGATAGGGGACTCATCTAGAACCCAGCCGAATCTCTCGTTTACGATGAGTATACTTCATTTAGTTTAGATCATCCTATCGCAGACCAGAGGAGATTTGAATTGTGGGTGATTCACATCGTTTTGAGTGTTTTGGGTGTAAGGCTCTCCGCACAAAGTGAATACTGACACAACTGGTTTACTAAGTATTTCTCCTACTTTCATCCACTTGGATCGCAAGGTTTGGAAATCTCCCTCAAAGCACTATTTTAAAACTTGCGATCCCCAAGTGATTGATGACTGCAGCGACGATAACAAACCAAACGAGTTGTACATCTTTGAAAGTTAGTCCAGAAGCGCAAGACTCGTTGCTGGTTTTGTGCCACGTCCGCCAATAACAATTTTAATGGTCGTTCAGCTGTAACACTCTATCGTTGCCTAGCTACCACGCCACCGGAAAGGAAACACGGGGGCTGGGATACTGCTAATTTGCTCAAGTCTAAACAGAATTATTCGAGATGCATAGATTGGGTTCGAACCGCGGACATTACGGTCAGTAAAATCCCGTGTTAACCAATGAGCTATTTCGAGTTTACTCATCTTACCACCTCAGTATGTTTACTCAATTGTTTTACTGTGGCTTGCCCTCGTTAGGATGAGCAGGCTCCATAGATGTCGTAGACCGCCGTTCCTCATGAGCAGCGACCAGTCTGTGCATATTCTAATCCAATGTAGTTTCTAACCCGGAACACCGCAAGCTTCATGAAACCCAAAACGGTCGACGTCAATCCAGTCCCATTGACGAAACTCACTTTGACACAACTTTATTTGATCTGATCCGAAACTCTTTATGTCTCGTTATATATTCTCTTTCAGAATTCCCGACATTTGTATCAATCCATCGAATTTCTGAGTCGACTGAATTCGGCCGGAGCTTTGATTTCTCAAGGTCTGGCTACCCTAATGTGGCAAGGTCGTTTGCGGTTTTGGTACGGCAAGTGTGTGAATGCGCTACGGGGCACAAGTCAACTGGTAAGTTCTTTCGGTCTCGGTACGAAACTTTGCATACGAGTAATTCAGTCTCGTATTGGTTAAGATTCTCTTTGTTTCCGAATAGGGCAAATCAAGTGGTACGTTCATCTGTCACATGGTTGTCAATCCACGTAGGATCATTAGAAAGAAACCGGGGGTTGGGGGTGGAAATCCCAACCCAACCAAAGGTCACAGCATCCCTCTTACACAACTATCTTAGCACTAGCTCATCCACAGAGACTGACAGAAGGTTCAAACTAAGTTCAAGAGGAACCATCAGATGAACCGAACCAGAAGAACTAGACCCTAGGCTGGACCCAAACACATGTAGGTATCCCCACCGACCCAACACTTGTTCAACCACTCTAACACACTAAATTCCCTCGGCCAACACCCAACAGTGATTTAGCTTGACTTAGCTGATTGGTTCTCTTTCCGCCTTAAATCTACACCAACCTTGGAAACTAGCCACTTGGCCTGACGAAGCTTTTGTGTCAAAAGCGAAACTTTGCCCAGCAATAAATCTACTGATTGTCACCAAGCTTTTTCGGAAACGAAGGAAACTCATCTGTTTCCGCATATCCATCCCCAAACAAATACTGATCCAAGGACATTGGAAATTCACGAACCAATGATTTAATTTCGCGCAGTTACGGATGGATGAACGTACAAACCAGTGTCAAAAATTCGACCTATCTTTCTTTGTTATTGTAATTTCCTTACCGCCAAAAGGACTTCATATGTAATATACACTCATCAATGGTCATTTTAGTGACCCAGGCCATCCGACATAGAGCAGATGTAACACACACGATGCGTGAAAAATTTCCAACGATTGACAGTCCTTATTGTCCGTTTGTATATTCCATCTGCCGTGTTACCCCCTTTCTGAGTGACATCGATAACCGGGCGAAGATTGGTATCCCGACGCCTTCAGTATCAACTGTCCGAATCTCTTAGTATGGACAGCGAAGCGAGAGTGATTTTCTTGAAAGTGTTCTCTTCATTCTGCGTCACATGCCTCGACCCGTAACTTTATGAAGTAGACAGTAAGTTATTAGAAGTAAAACCATTCATTTTCACCTTGTTGTTGGATTAACAGAATAACAGTATAGTGTCGACAAATACACTCAACAATTTTGTTTTTACTTGAAACGCAGGTGAATCTCCCCCCTGTGATGTTCTTCTTCAGTGTGTAGAGTCTGCACAGCAACTTAGTGTCCTTGTCACTAGTCACCTCGTTGAGTGAATTTGACGATATATACGCCTTTAGTGCTCGGTAAGTTGGGTGACGCATGGAGAGATGCAACAACGTGAATGCACAAAACACTTTTAAGGCGCGATTTCACTCGATCGGTTTTAATTCCTGCAACAGATTGCTGTTCGCTTTCAATCCTGTAGAATGTCTTTGTTGATTTCAGCGTCGTTGAACACAGGCTCGTTTGGGGGAGAATTGTGAAGCGTTCTGAAGCCTAACTTTCTTTGATGTGAAGTTGATATTTTCCGGAACTAGACGCATGGATATCTTATCGACATGCTCAGGTAGGGTTGGACTTGATGAAGGCCAAACTTTTGAGAACAATCTTTTGTTGTAGTGATTCAGACAGGGACGAAAGCGTCGTGAGCGGAAAACAGGTAATTTTAGGTTCTCGACAATGAAACCATTACGTGAAGTATAGTGTTTCACGAAAAAAATAATGACGAGCTGAGGAGCAGCGTATGCACTTTTCTACCTGCCTCCTCGAAAGCATCTCTCTTGGCAAGCAGTTTATCTATTTAACATAAATAATTTCGGGACCTTGGCATTTTGCTTTCTTCTTGGGGCTACACTCTCTTCAGCGCACCTTCTTGGGGAGCAGTGCTCCACTTGAACAACACCCATGAGCTGGAAGACCCCAAATAAGTGTGCTGGAATGCCATCGTCTAAATGTCTGCCCTCCGCAGAAATCCTGATATTGTTTTGCGTTCCCACGTGACTCTGCTCAGTCGAAGTATCCATAGCATCACTGGACTCCTGAGGCAAACACCAGGATATACTGAACAACTTGGAAACCCTTCAGTCCGAACTTAAAAGTCGTCTACTTTTTCCCGATTGTATTTGACTCTTGTCTGTTTTTGCCGATCATATGAATGATAACAGCTCACTTCTCCCTCTTTTTCAGCCATCTAAGGACAATGAATTGAAGAATATATCGATCCTTCTGATGAAATTTATGACAGTCTATGGGAATGTGAGTTTTTCGCGCTTTATAATCTCGATCGATGCTTTTGTCATCCTTGCAATGGAAATCATGTGGCTCCTCTCGTGGGGAAAACGATTGCGTCACTCAGCGGCTGATGCTACTAAGGTTCTTGTCAGTTCCGGCCCGGTTACGGTAACGCGTCGCAACCAGATGATACCAAGGTAGTTATAGACATAGAACTCGTTGTTGTGTTTATCAAAAGGCCATAACACCTCTCAGTCATCACGAACAACAATGTCAGTAACAATACATTGTACGTGTGTTTGTTTCCTAGCGGATATGTGGACATGACACAATCGTGCCCTTCGTGTGTGTGATGGACAGAACCAGGTATGCCACAATAAGGAGTGACAGGTTTTCGCAACTCCATAACGTTCCAAATGCCGGTCATTCAGATCATTCCATAAACACGCATACGCACTTTTACTGTGCTGTTGCGATAACTTATGCTGTTGCAAAACACTACCGCAGCTCTGAACTATGGGAAAAATCGAAATAACCCACGTCACATGCAACGGTGGACACTTAATTCGACTCAATAGTTCGCCTACTGCGATTTCGACAGTAGTCCATAATTAACTCACTCGATGATTCGATATCGCCAACAGTCCTCCGTAGCCGTGTCAAAACGCGAGGGATTATCTTGACATAACACACCACCGTAAGGCTGCTGAAAGCGCTTGGACGACCGGCTGGGGAATTATGCCTATCCGATGAGTCCCAAAAAGGGCTAAGCGGGTTTGATGAGCGTCGAAAAGTCTGTGTTATGTCGAGAATCTAGAATATCGTGCCAGCTGAAGCCTGACTCCGCCTTTGTTTAGCACAGTTGGTTGAAGAATAACGTAGTCGAGTGATTAAATTGTATCACTCGCCAGGACTACTGTAATTTTCACGCGAGTATACTTTGTCAATTACGAGTGATTATCGACCTTAAGTGCATATTTGGAGCATCTGATTTAGTTTTCACCAATCTTACGAATTACCTAGTTGATTCCGGAACAATGGGACTGTAGCTCGGTAATCAGAACTTTGTTCGTTGCAACCTCTTGTCTCAAATTAGCCGTAAGATAAATATAGGCAGATTACAACAGGCACCCAAAGGTCAACGCACAAATATCAATTTACTTATCAAGTTTATTCATGAACTCTCAGAACAAACAATAAATGTGTTGGCCTTGTAAAAAGGCGAATAAAATGCCCTAATTTCATGAAAAAAATCCGTTCGTCATGCCGAAAAAATAACAGAAATTACATCAATGCAGGCCACTAAGAAAGCCAGTAGATGGCGTAGGGACGACAGCGAATAGTCCTCCCTTCTTGACTTCACAGTTATGGTCTACCAGTCGATCGTATTGGTGGCTTTAACACTTAACCTCCTGTTCGTCCTCCCTCGGTGACTTGCTGTGACTTACTGAACAGTCCTGCACCTCTGTATCGGCCCTTGGCTTCCTGCTGTGCCCACTATGGTATATCAAAAGGCACGGTAGCTTCAGACAGCTCTTTATGGAGACAAAGAAAGATTGTTACAACTGTATTTATAGGTAACCACAGAATTTCCCACTAGGTGGTGCTAGAATCTATGTGAGGGAGGCGAAAAGCGTCGAGCTAAAGATGCCTGATACAGACTGGCTGGCATTCTGACCAGTCAGGGCATGCCTTTGTTTGGTCCGTAGCTCGCACATGACATCCGTCTGATTCCTCGCTGTTCGCTTATTAGGGGTGGCTGACCTCCGGACATTTGAGTCTTTACCAATTACGAAGAGTTCACTTGATCACACCTTTACCCAATACAACCCATTTGTGACGATAATGTTTCATAACTTGTGTTCGGACTTGTTTGTTGAGCTATTTTTGTCCTCTTCCCGAAGGTTACACCGTAAAAACAGCTGTTTACCATTTCAGCAACGACTGTAGTACAGATTGCACAATTGATTCACGGCAGCCGTCTGAACAATCACACTCAGACTTAATTAATTTTATTAGTTTATGCGAAACGCGAGACACATAAACCGAAGTTCGTTCGTATCAGAACCAACGACAATCCATTTTCTGGGACGGAGTGCGTATATGGAGCCTTGCAGCACCGTATACTGGTGTTTTCCCTTTTTTAGCCCTTCCTTGACAGAAAACAGGGAAAATTTCTATTGTTTAAGCTACGCATTAAATGACACTAAATTCACAGGACCAATCCGAAGTAATTCAAGGCCAACAGGATACTGAGCGTAGCTGGTTGCGCGTAATCCCTATGACCCCGTAGCCTATCCAACCTGTTCCTGGGCTTTTGTTTCTTCATAGTTGTCAATACATTGATATCGGGTGTGATTTCAGAAACCTTCGAACACTCATGTATGGTCTTCCGACTGTTTCCGTTTTTTTAATTGCGCTTTACATAGTGTTCCATTAGCAATTACGAGTCTGTAGCTTGTCCCATTATGTTGTAACTTTTCTGTCTGTCACTATCCGACATCAGTCCAGAGATACCATACTGATGTTATACACATGCATCCCTTTGCTTCTTTAGGCATGCGGCAAAGCTGAAGTTGTTCCTGTCTTTTCTGTGGAGCGTGAGTGGAATACAGACTCCACAGATGTACAGGAGGATGTCCAACTTTGGAGAGACGATAACAGGGATATGTCTGCCGAGCCGTTTAGCCCCGACAGGAATCCGCGTGACCAGGACACCACGTCTAGCCTTGGTCGGACGCTGATCGCCGAGGCAGCAGTCAACCAGCCCGTGCCGGATATGCGCTCAATTGCCTCTTGGGAACAGGCTGTAATTGTGGTGAGTGCGATGAATGTCTTTGGTCGTCCATTGAGACCGAAGCGTCGGCAACAATTGCGTCTGGAGCCGGATATGCACACCACTCAACAATATTATGAACCCGAAAACTTCTTTGTACCACAGGTAAATAGATCCTTGTGTATAGCCATGTCCTTTTTATCTCCACAGCCGTTTTATCGCCCAAACAAACCTTATCCCTTTCTAACATTGCTGCTAGGGTAGGTTGCGAATAACTGTACAAACTTTCCTGTCTTTGTGTATAGGACTCCAGTCCAATCACTCTTAGTTTCAATCCGAATTGGATAAGCGCCTCGCTCGGCCAGGAAGTCGATGCTGCTTTGGACAATCGAAGACGGTTTTTCTTATCTTGGTTGACGGAACAAGCCGTGTCTAGCTACAGGACCTCAGTGAATTCCCTAGCCTCGACTCGACTTTCCCCTTGTGTCTCGTCGAACGTGGGGTCTGGTGATTGGACCTCAAGTCCTCTTGAACTATACAAGCTTTTCACCTCTGCGTTGGTTACCTTGGCTCGTCGCTGGGGCTATCCCAAAGATATGGCTCTCAGTCAACACGTACTTGCTCTGTTCGAGTCCAATCTTGACGATCAGGCAGAATTGGTAAGATTGACAAATGCGATATTGACTCACTTCTTCATTTGCAGATGGCTGTAAATTTTGATCTTTATCCTTTAGTGTTGAAGCTGCGCTCCACTTTGATTCTGTCTTCTGCTAGGCTGGCTGGTTATGTTGCCTTTCGCCTTGTACGGGTTAATAATATCCAGTCGTAATCCAATTACGCCAGTTTCCCTATCAAGTTGTCTTACAGTAGGCTACTTTGACTTCGGCCTGTGATTTGAGAACATGGGACAAGCGAACGGTTTGTTGATTGACCAGGTGGTCGGTGATCTGTTCGCCGAGCTTGTTTTGGTCACCAAGCGAGGTAATATCATCAGTGCGCCCTTGGATGGTTAGTTCCTCCTTACCTGCTTGAGTTAAGATGGTCGCTAAAGACCAACTGATATGCATTATGGTGGTTGGCTGACGGGAACTCACCTTCCTCGGAATTCAGTTGGTCCGTTTTTAGCTGTGTTGTGTTGTGATCTTGAATTCGATTGGTTGGGACATGAACTACTCAACGCTCTAATCGAATCCGGGGGTTCCAGACCACGACGCAACACAACTAGAAGCGAACCAATTGGATTCCGAGAAATGGGCATTTCCGTCAGCCGATTACCACAATTTTTATCAACTGGTCTTTGACGACTATATTAACTCAAGCAGGTGACAAGGAACTACCCACGCAACCGCGCACTTCTCATGGTGGCCGAACTTTTACAAGTTAATTACCAAGCTCCGCGAACAGATCAACAGTCACCTGATCAATAAACAATGAAGCACGCCACAGCTACAAATATTCCGATACATTTTCAAGCGAATGGTTTGTCTCATCCCCCCACCAACCCATCTCTCAACTGGTTGGTCATATCCGGGACCAAAAACTTGGTAACCGTATGGTTACATGACCATTCCTGAGTTCTGGAGGTCAATATGCGTGAGCCTCTGTTTGCTTTATGGTGCTCCCTCTCTAACACAACCTCCAGCAGTGATATGTTTTAACGATTGACGCAAACAGCCAGTCGGTAGTCGGGTCTCTTCAGGGAGTTTTACAAAATCGATATTTTCAGCCTAAAGTGCATTAGCGAGCGAAGCGTATGTAGCCTTATCGTTCAGTGTGTATACTATCTGTGAAACACACCGGCTTAGTCATTCTCAACAGTAACCGTCATGACCCATTGTTCTGTCAACAGCCTAGCACATTTGTACATGCGTTTCTCACACAGTGCGCTAACTTGCTGGGTTTGTCCACAGTGTATAGTGATGTGGTGTTGGTGGGCGTTCGATAATTGTTGCAAGCAGCTTAGTACTAATAAATTGTTTCTGTGAATGATTTACCACAGAACTTGTAGAACGTGTTGAACAATCTGGTCAATGACTGTTCCGCCGTATATTGACTCGAGCTTGGTCGTTCATCTATTTTTTTCTCTTTCCGAGTAGCCAGTTTTATTTCACTGTACGTGGTTGCTGCAACTTTGTGAACGACACTGTAATGCCCACTGTATAACTTGACTTGGATCTTCTGGTGTTCGTTATCTCTAGGGTTAGATAGAATCGCCAAGCACATTATGGCGACGGGAACAGCAACTGAGTACTTATGTTCCTTGAATTTTCACCCTCCGTAATCGGTCGTAGATGACGGATAATTTTCAACACTCTTGCTCACTGAATTTCGGAGTACTATATTGCAAAAACTCTCACAAGTACCACATTAGAGGTAAGACTGAGGACCCATTTAGCTGTTGACCAGTACACCACCAAGAAATGTTGGTTTACGGGAGAAATCTGCAATTCCCATAAACCACCTAATACCTAGTTGTGGTTTAGACGCACATATCAGTGAGTTCCAGTGTCCAATCGCTCTTCATAAACACATAATCATCATCATCATTGTCAGCTGTAAGAACCGCGTACTCGTCGTACACTGGTTGTAGCTGCCACAGTTTCGTTCACCAATGATTGGGGGGTAGGTAGCTGCGCATTGCACGCGCGAGCTGGTAACTTGGTGCATAAATCCAGCACTGTCAGTGGGCTGTCAAGTGGGGGGTGGGGTGGAAAAGGAGCTATGCATTGAAGGCAATAGCTTTGATGCACGAGCGCCATTGAGGGCGCGACTGGGCCATGTCTGACAATGTCTCTAGCCATTGATGTGGCCCGTCTCGGGGTCCCCATCCAGGAAGACGGCAGTGACCAGCGCAGCTGAGTTTGCCGGTAGTGGCTTTCATACTTCGCTGCCAAGTCATTGTTTGACCGCCTCTGGCTCTCTTCCACCCTTCTCATGGTTGGGCGAAAAGAGCACTACTAGTTGACCACATATGCCCCTGTTCCTGCCCTACTCTTTACTACCGTTTCCAGCTTACATATGTAAGAATCCTTTTAGTTTTAAATGCTATCTCCCAGTTACTCTCCCTTTCTAGTATCTATCTCAGTTACAAAACCCCGCCAACTTAGCCACCAGACTTCTCCTGATTGTTGGTCAGCGTGTGGCTTGGCAGTGTTTTGGGCATTCGGTAGCTACCTCTGAGCAGTTGCGCTGGCGTGCCTGCGTTCCTTTCGAGTTGGAATCATGGCTTCGCGGACTCCTGCCTGTAAGTTATCAAATTGTTTCACAGAAATCTATCGACTCTCAACAGATGTTTGAACGGGAATGATATGCGTTTTCATGCAATAAAGTCTCGTTACTCCAATGGGCTGCGAAATTTCCTTCCGCATCCACTGCTTCAAAGTGTGTAGAAATCAATTTTAACCTGAATCAAACCAAATTAGAACAATTAAATTAGTTTATATGTACTCTAGTTTCAGTGTTTTCTAGTGCGTTAGCCACAATATTACCACTCATTGCTGGTTGTTTAGAAACGCTGGCGCCATTATGGAAAAACACCTTCAGAGTCTCCGGCAGTACATGTAAGTTTGAAATAATCGCCACAAAATACCATTCGGTCCATCATAAACGGGTTCAGTTGAGCTTCCTGTCAGAACCAAATCCGTGTGAGAATGAGAGAATTTAACGAAATGTGCCAAATTTGGGTTATAAGGTTGATGGAAACTCGGGATACGCTCCAAGAAAGGCGAGACCGGTCGAAGTGTTTCCTGCAACCTTATGAGTAGTGTACTGCGTTTAGACCACTCGGTCACCTTTCTCTCCGTTGGTTATCCACAGTCAACAAGCAGAGCATACGTTGGTGACAAGATATTCCTTCCTTTCGTTCTTCGAGACTGTCCTTGTGTATAAATACATCTCTGTTCGCGTTTTTCTCATAGACTCCACCACATTTTGCTCATTGTCTGCCATGCACTATCGAACAATGGCCCGCTGAATCGATTTTACGCACATCTTCACGCTCGCTCTCCGAATACACGCCCTATCACGTGTTTTTGCACACATGTTTACCTTTAAGCCATAACGAATTGATGTTTCCTCTGAGCACGCTGTTTCCGCATCGTTTTCGCGACATCGAGTCTTCCTTTCGAATCGCACAAAATTATGTGGCACTTAAGATGACGACACTCTTAGTTTGAGTTTTTTTTACCTGTTTGTATCTGCTTTTAAGCATGTCTCAAGTCCTTGTCACTATTGACTTTTGATCCCGCGCATCAATCAGTTGAACTTCCTATAGTAGGCTACGTCATCTACACAAATAGTTGATCATCCCAATGACGTCACCACAGTTTTAACTGATATGATTATCTTCAAGATGGATACGGGCCTAACGGAAGACTACGTGACCTGAAACCAAGCGAGACCGATGGTGGTATGATAGATTGGCAATATAAAATAAGGTAAAATAAGGTAAACACTATGATAAACCGAATAGTGTGGATTACCATTGTCAGTGCCTGATGTCATTTTGAACCTGATTGTGCTACCAGTCCTCAAGGGAGACCGTCAGTCAGAAATTGAGCGACGCAGTGTAGAAGTCATTGAGTGAGAGGTAATCCATGCCGATGGTCGACTGGGAGTTCGGTACTTGGTTACTTGCGGCACGCCCGTTTGTGCTTGTCCTAGCATGTCTCAAGTCCTTGTCACTATTGACTTTTGATCCCGCGCATCAATCAGTTGAACTTCCTATAGTAGGCTACGTCATCTACACAAATAGTTGGTCATCCCAATGACGTCACCACAGTTTTAACTGATATGATTATCTTCAAGATGGATACGGGCCTAACGGAAGACTACGTGACCTGAAACCAAGCGAGACCGATGGTGGTATGATAGATTGGCAATATAAAATAAGGTAAAATAAGGTAAACACTATGATAAACCGAATAGTGTGGATTACCATTGTCAGTGCCTGATGTCATTTTGAACCTGATTGTGCTACCAGTCCTCAAGGGAGACCGTCAGTCAGAAATTGAGCGACGCAGTGTAGAAGTCATTGAGTAATGCCGATGGTCGACTGAGAGTTCGGTACTTGGTTACTTGCGGCACGCCCGTTTGTGCTTGTCCTCACGTGTCTGTATTCACTAGTTTTATGCGCAGCAGTCATGCACAGTACCGGTGGATAACTAGAAATTCGATTTACTGGAGTACGAAAAAAACTAGTCGACAGCACCGCGGTCAAGGAGACTAGTTGGTCGAATGACGTTCACGGCTATACTGTGATCATCAGTTAGGAGATGGGGTAGTCGACGCGCTCGATTAACTTGTTGGCATGTATGATTGCGCTTGCTATCCATTATCAACTAAAAAACATTTTCTTTTCTCCGCATCAACTACGAGGTGAAATCCAACGCGTTCCCTTTACTTCGAGGAGGGGGGTGAGCCACTCACTGAACCAATCACACTCGTGGTCATTTTTCTGTTTTTTTTTTGGGGGGGGGGGAGGAATGATTGTAGCACGTAGGTGTATTTCCGTTACACTTATTTGTCAGTGGCATTTTTGTATATCCTGAGATTGCAATACGCAGGCCATGTTCGAAAGAAAACAGCGTCATCCTGCATCTTTGCTTTGAAGTATTTGACAAACAACTTTCGTCAGTGACGAAATCAAAACGGTCCAGTGTTTGTAGTTCGCAGTCAGCCTTGTTTTCCCGTTCGTTACCCAAACATTTAGTATTGAGACCATCCAGACTCGCGCAATCCAAAAAGGACAGCAATCCCATATTTCGGAAGTATTATCTCCTATTATTGCACTTGTTGTCGACTTGATTGTTTCTCTACTTCTTTATACATATTCTTGCCTAACTCGTTGATAGCAGCCAGGTATCATTCTCAATATTTTGTTCCATACAGGTATCACGAGACACGAGATTTACTCAGGTGTCCTACCGTTAATAAGTGACCGACCAGCGCATGAGCGCACACGCGGCAGGCTGTGCTCTACTCGTGGACCTGAGTGTTCACCAAACATGTGCGAAAATCTTAACTGATAATCAAGAACTGTCACTCGTTGGTTGCCAGAAGCTTTTGGCAAGGTGTTCACTCTGAAAGCCATTCACATAGTCGCAAATACCCAGTGCACTAAGAACGCAACGTGGTCAAATGGTTGCTCTTTAAGGTGAGAACATCCAGAGACCAAAAATCGCTTGCACGAGAAACTGTGAAGTGGCTTTGGTCTTCTTGATCGTGACTGTCTACTGCTCTATTCAATTACTTCTGAGCATTATGGGTCCTCTTTAATTGCTCGATGCACAATTGATCCTTCCAAACGAACCGAGCGCGAATGGCATCGTCCATCCAACGGTGAAACTTGTCCAGATTGACCTACTTCAACTTTGGTGTCGACATTTCCTAGCTCATCTAGTGGTTAAACTGGTGAACTCATACGAAGCCACCAATTTAGGGGTTACTTTGCTTATGCTATTTTTACATTTTGCACATGGAACCAAAAGGATATTGTCATTTGCCGTCCTAGATTTCCCATGACTGACGCTCACTGTCACCTACTCAATGTAGGCTGTTGGGGCGAACAGAGTTAATCAAAACGGATTGGGTGTGACATGGTTGTTCACTCCGAACTGGTGGAAAAGTGAAATGGAATTTTATGGTTGTCTGGTTTCTCTCAAATGTTTTACTCAGCAAGGAGCACTGGGCGCAGACTCATGCCGAATCAACAGCGCAACTCGCTATTGCTCGGAACGGATCGCATACATATTACCCTGTTTGCTGAGTGTCTGTTACTAAGTAACAGACTCACGACAGGTCTTGGTCGCCTAAACCATAGGGTGAGTATTTGGTCATAGCCAGACAATGGTTGGACATTATGGGTGAACAGAACATTACAACCTAAACACCATCTACACAATTTGACTTCTGGTTGGGCGTTTCCTCGTGCTGTTCTGCTCAGAGATTTGACGACGAAAGTTGGGATTGAAACAAACACCTCGTTGAAGCATCGTTTATGTTACAGACCGTTTGCCGTTATCGTTGTTAAAATATGTGCCCAATGTCTGGTACTTTCCAACCCTTAACAATTTGGCCACCTTTTTTTCTCTTCAGGAAGCTACAAACATGTATTCAGAAGAAGCGTTTTGTGATCCAAGTCTCTCACCAGCTGACAATGTCACTCATTTGGTGCACCTGATTGACCTAGTGCTTCAACACCTACCTGCGCACGCGAGTCAAGCATCAATGGCCGAAGCATTACGAGATGCCATTTACGCAATGATTGACTGAGTTCTCCATACTAGGTGGTAGCATTGTTTTCTCTCTGCTTTCTTTCCCCATCACTCCCTACTTCCTGCTTGTACATTATTTTGAAGATTGTTCATAACAGAAATTTTCCGCCTGAAATGAACCACGACTTCCAGCGCTTTTGGAACTCCGTTTTGGCGTTTGGTCTTCTGAAACGGTCAGCTTTTTATGTCCAGAAGTGAAACTTTCTAATTTTCGACTTGGAGCTAGCTAACAACCTACCACTGTCAATTAATGTGGGTAAAACGAGGTCAAGTAGACGTAAACTCGGGGACTGCGCCTACCTGATGAGTCCCAAGAAGGGCGAAACTGGTCGTGGGCTGTCGAAGAGTTTTCAGCAACCTTGTGAGTAGTTTCCGCTACTTATCTTGAAAGGTCGACCGGCTGTGGCCGTAATGTGATATAGTCAGGTCGTTCTAGTCTAGTCATAAGTGGTTAAGCCATGTATGGAATCGAATTGGAGTTCCCGGCCAGGAGCTGCTGTTTTCTCAAGCGTCGCAAGTCGTAGGAAGAATGAAGGCTAAGGTACTGCTACATTGTTCATACATAATAGTATGATCACATCGTCGTCTCTTTGTCCTGAACTCTTACCTACCTGATTTACCCTACTCAAATGGATGAGGTTTGTGAACCAGGTCCAACTTTGGATTCAATCATTGCCACCAGTCCGTGTCACAGTAATCCAGGGGCAGCTGGGCTGGGCTAAGGTTGTACTGCGTCGCATCAAAACGTACGCCGAATGGCGCAAACCGTGCTATTCCGTGATAGCTCTCGCAACCAACATATAACAGGACAAACGTCAAGAACATGTCAGTTTCCCCACAAAAATGCACTGCGGGCAGAAACGATATAGCCCCCCACCCTTGGAATGGAATAGATTCGCCACATCCGTTCCTATCGTCACATTTTCTGGTGTTACAATCAGGGTAAGAATAAGTAATTACATTGGAACATATCGTACAAAGTTGCATTTACACAGGATCAAGGGATAGAGAAACAGATCACAGTAAGTGGTTTTCGGTTGTTATTATATCGCAGTAACTGCAAGAGTGGTGAGCGGCGGTAGAAAAAGAAGGAAATAAAGCGAAAACAGGTGCAGTCGATGGCGATGCTATGCACTGTGTGGAATCGGATTGTTAGGATGTTCACCCGGTGTGAGAGTGCGTACCGTCCTCGTCGAGTAACACTGCGGACAGAAGACGTCGGACCTCGGCAACTGCAGCGCGGAACTGGCACCAGCTATACTGATCTCCCCCTTCCAAGTTGCTACCAAAGGTTTCGATAAACGCAATGTTGGTAAGCAGCCTCGGTGGGTTGACCTGTTGATAACAACAGAACGTACGATTGATTAGTTATCGTCGGTTCTCACTCACCCTAAATATCAACACACAATGAAGCGATACTCCTTCACGAAAGAAAGGAATCCGAGCACCGTGAAACGCCAACTAGGATAAGGAATGCACTTGCAGACAGTTCTAGTGATACCCTCCAAATCTGTGATACCAATCCACCATTTTGACAGATTAGCAACAGTTGGGTTCGTTAGTGGACACAAAAAAGTTGGGAAAATCAAACCGATGGGATAACATACCTGAATAATAACATAAATAAGCACAGGTAACAAATCGTCGGCGCTGGGAGGCGAATCGGGGGATACTAAGGCAAGTGTGGTAACAATTCGGTCGTTGACACTCTTCAGACATTGGAGCATTTCACTGGGAACCTGTAACGGGAGGAAAATTCAATTAGTCCCCATTGCATTTTTTGGCAAGTCAAAAGTTCAGGTACCCCAAAGTGCTACAGTCATTAACCTGTATTTCGATTGCGGAGCATCAGTGTTAACGCTGATGTTTCTGTCTTTGATGACGATGATCGAGGCGCAATGCTGCTTGTTTTATACAAATGTACATAGGCTGGTTCGACTACGGTTCTTCAGTTGTATGACTTCTCTCTAGAAATAACAGAACGCTACTATCTAGGAGTTCACACGAAGCAGTAAATTTACTCCATACCGATCAACGCTCGTGGATCAGGAAACTGCTCGTTTGTGGGAACATTCATCCAATGAGCATCCATACGAAAGCTACAGATAACGTTTGCAGTGCAAATGAGATTTGTTTTCCCTAAGTAATCGTTCTGCTTTATCCAGCAAAGCGGACTAATGGAACTGACGCCACTGGAAACACCGCGCTGGCTGGGGGGGGGAGATAAACCCGAATATTTTGATTGGTCAGACAAGAGACGAGTTTTGGGAGACAAAGATTAGACTCACGTGTGACCGATCGAGCAGTCGTAGTTCTTCTTGAACCGAGATGAACGGTTGAAGTATATGGAATCGTTCAGGAATCTGTAGGTCGTTTGCGGTAAACAAGTGACCCAAGCTGGCCAGCTCGCGGTGCAACAGCCTACGAGACAGGAGGACGGCAGAGTCAATGGCAGGAGGTATTCGATCGAGGAAAATAGAATGGAACATAGATCTTTTCAGTGAAGTAGGCTAACGATATTTGAGAGGTGATTGAATAGTTTGTACCGTTTTTTTCACCAATTTGCCAGAGATAACCTGCTAATGCGGGAGTCAGTACCTGCAAACAGTTCAGCAATTATTTGCAGGATAACTTAGTGCCGAAGAAGTTTCATCAACCTTAACGGTAGTTTTGTATTAAGCAATTATCACTCATTTTTTGCACTTTCCCCACTTCGCTTCATCGCAGACCCTGGAGCGACTATCCATATGGTGGGGCTTCCTAGCGAATTCAACACACGACAAACCAGGTCCACTTTTTCAACCCTATCTTAATGCGATCAGCGGCTGGTGTGATTTGTGAAATCAGGCGTTCGCTGAACAACCTTGGTTCAACCACCTAATGGATAAAAATTACGGCGAAATTCAGTGGAGACCTCGTGATGATGCGGTGTGTTGATGACAGATGTCACGTGTGCACGTAAGGTCGTAATTAGACGTCGTTGCGGTCACCGAATGTCTTGCTGAAGCAGCCGCCTCATGTGTAACGCTACCTGTTCTCCATACCCTGTTGCCCTGTCAATCTCGTGATCCGGTTTCTAGTTTGCTGACATGAGGTTCCTGTGTAATCACGTTTAGCGGTTCATTGTGGACGAGTGACTTCCATACCAATTGCGGTGAGCTTCTTTCTAACCCCTTTTCGAGACCTGGGTTATACGAAGGATGTAGTTTTGACCTCTCATGCTGACTACGGAGATTTGGATGAGTCGACTGGTCCCCAACTTTCATCCGGCGTTTCGGACTGACCTCTGCGTGTCTAAGCAAATTTACGGCGATCAGTCCACCAATTCACGCGCTCATTCCCACAATCGATGAAGCTGGGTTCGAGGTGGTGGAGTTATCAGAATAACAGAGTGAGTATGAGTCAACTGACAAATCGTGGAATATAAGGTGCTCGGGTATGATTGGTTGCGCCGGTTATTCATGAACTTCTAGCACAACATGCGCGATGTAATACTACCAACAGTGAGAATACCTATAGCGCGTCGTACTCTTCAGGAGAGAGTGGATTTACCGCGTAACCATGCTCCCTCACAGTGAGGAGAATTTCGTTCGTGGGGAGTGCTTATGATCTTAAGGAATCTGATGAAATCAGGTAAGATGAATTAGGCCGGCTTAACTGGGATTTTACAGTTACAGTAGCAATCAATGTCATCCAGTAGGTGCGAAGTGCTCATTCTCGATACATCTTGGCAGGAGGGAACAGAAAGTGAGACAAAAACTACAGCAGTAGGAATCGTTCCAAACCTTTTTTTGCTTTATTATGACCAATCCATCTTTCGTAGGTATTTCTGTACGACAAATTTTGGTAGGCTCCGAGCGGATGTTGTCTCTCAAAGGAACCGTCGTGAAATGTGTTCTACAAATACGGGTCTTTCAGACGCGGTTTCCAAGATACAAGCCCATTAGAATAGTGTAGCACCAGTGTTGGAGATGAGGAAGGGATGGTCGGCCGGTTAACCGGAATCAGTACGAAATCTATTGTTGTGAATTTTACGTTATCTTCTTGCATATACTTGCTAGAATTGTAGAATTCTCATCTTAACATCCTTCCGGGCTGGTGTAATTAGTCTACACAAAAGCGGGGAAGCTCACAGCAGCACACATCTGTGGTAGTTCTTCTGCAATTCGAACATCAGAACCCCGACACATGCAATGGACATGACTCTTTCGCCAGTGCACACTGGGAACTGTTCTCAAATTGGACAGAATGACTTGTTTGTTTGACCCGGGAACTATCCTGGTTGGGCTGATCGATTGACCCGTCAGGCAGCACCACAGATGCTTGAAAACTGCTGGACATTTTTATTCAGTTCGTTGCGAGTAGATGCTGGAACCAAGAGCGTCCCTAGAATAGAGTTCTGGAAACACTTCGTCGAGGAGCGATTTCAATGAAAAAAGTTTGTCAGGGCGCGCCCAGACAGAAGAAAAAGTACATGTGCAGAGAGTGACGCATCCCCAAGGTCACCATCGGTTCGACACGTCCGGAAAGTAGGTGTGTTGGCGGCTCTCACCAAACGGCTTAGCAACACACGACCAGCGTAGTGGGGCTGAGAATGTTCACGACCGGAACACCACCATTGGCTGTACGGAACGAACAAGTAAACGACCATATTTGGCCAATTAGTCATCCTATATATATTTACGCAGACGCTCTGTATGTTTCGTCCTGGCAATACAGCCGTGTCCCCAGTTCTCTGTCTTCTCCCTATCGCGTAGTCTGGCAGGCTCAGTGCAGGCGTAACCAATAGCTCGGCCACCGCACAATACAACAAAGTCCGTATGGCCAAATCGTTTTTTTTTCGGTGGAGAGTACTGTACTAAGTAAGACCGGATGAGGGAAAGGAACCAAGCAACCATTTGATATTTCAAACCTAGGCAGGCAAGTCCATAAAACAATTGACCATAAATACAGTGACAATCAAGAAACACACTGGACTTGGTGTGATACATTACCAGAATAACTTCCGCTACTTCTTGACACATCTGTTACATTTAGGTCGTCCTTCTGGTCAAAATACAGTGAGCCATACGTCGTTCTCCAACCCCAAGATAGTCAACGATAAACAAACTCACTTACACATCGCGCTCCCGCTCCACCGAGGCATCATTCATCCAAATGCCAGATCTGTACACCTTCTCCATCACAAGCCGGATCAGGTGGGATGGCCCCGAAACAGTTGTGGATAGGTAAGCAAAGTCGGGATCGTCTACAGGGGCTGAGAATAGTTGAAGGGACAGAGCGCTCCACTTGGTGACCAAAGTGTGAATGAATTGATTAACTAGGCCACGTGCCACACTGGGTAGTTCTTCAGCTTCGCTGGAGGAACGTGCTTTCGTGAGTCGAGCGTAGAAATCCTCGAACAATTCCAACTGAGAGTCAAGAAAGCTGGTAATTGCGTTGTACAGCAAATTGTCACACTGAAGGGTGAGGTTGTGTCGAACTCTGTAAGTGCAAGGAACGGAACTAGAAGTAATGAACACTTTGAAAAGAACAAACGAAAATGGAGCTGTCTGATTTGTTTCTAATCTGCTGAAATTAATAGTCTAAGAGTATAGTTGCTGAGGTGTCCAAGGATGAAAATTCAAGAGACTTATGCCGGAACATTCTGACATTTTTCTATACATTCTGCTGTAAATTTTATGACTACATAGGTTTTTCACCACAAACACACGGATAAAACTGGATAACTTATGATCGGCAGGCAATCGGTTGAATCAGAAAATAAACCCAGAATTTACACGGCGTTACGTAGTCGACCAGTATGAAAGCGAGTAGCAATCACCAAAAAATCATAGCATCACTCCGCTGTACGGTCCTACCACATGAAAAACACTACTCAACACATGTTTGTTGAGTGGGTGGATGAGATTTCGACAGATATCTCTCCATTTAATCTTGGAATATCCATTAACGGGTCTCTGGACATTTGCATGCTTGTACATTTGGCGTGCTGGTAGTCGATATGCTTCCATTCAGGACGGAATAATAAACTGATTGGCCAGTCGCGCATTGCCTCTCATAGCGGCCTCTGATGATGACGCGAGACGCTGCATTGTCTTGTTTTCACTCCTAATAGCAAATACTTACCATAGCTTCATGCATGATACACCTACCAACAGTCTAGTATTGACGATTCATTGATTTCATAGACTGAGGAGACAATCAACCCATCGACTGTAAACTGAAATTATTGAATTCTGCAAATGTTGCACTTGTGATGTGCCGCGTTTCTGATCCGTTAGTGGGAAACTTTTTCCGATCACCAGGGATCACCTAGCACCGCCGCCGACTTCAGGTGACAGGAACTTCAGTTCAAGGTGACTCCAGTGAATCTGATGGTCTTATTCCCAAAAAAGCCTGCTCCATTGCCCACAGAACAGAATTGTTGCAGCCTTGTGGATTTCTTGAAAGCGTCTGGTAGTCCAGCAGACAACAAGCACTACTCGCTTACGGCGATGTTCTCATCATCAGTTTGAAGTATTCTCAGTTTACAGTGAACCAATCGGCAATATGCAATAATCACTTGGATTCTGACACACATCTACATAGCAGAACACTTGTTTTAGTTAACCAGTACTGCAAACAAACAGGAGGGCGGAATAGTTGAACAGGACAACGCAGTGGTTCACATTTCTACCATATTCGAGAATGGATTTCAGTTGAGAACAACAAAATCTTCTGTAAATTACACGAAAATTCGCATTTTCGAAGGGTTGGTTAACGGGCTCTAGAAAATAAATTCAGCTGGAATGATAGTTCAGCTAAAAGTTCTGGAAATCAGTCGCGTGACCGTCCAAAGATGCTTCAGGTGCTTATAGTTCCCTCCCTCTAGTGGGCTCATGTTTTGCTCTTCGTCAACTGTATGGGCGGTTTTCAACCTTTCCACCCCATCGTCCGTTTCGCTCTATACGCGCGCCACTACCGCCCCTTAGCCTTACATGCCTTATCTAAACGGCAAAACCAGAACGGCTTTTATTGCAAAATGCTAGCAGGACATGGTACACACACAGTAACATCTTCTGAAAGATCCTTCTGAATGGATATTTACTCTCTGGAAGGTGCGCAACAGCGTACCGATTTAGTGTGTGATGTCTTTAAAAAGAAACCAGTCTCAGTGATCCACTTGAAAACATTCCCGCCTGTGCCACACGTACTGAGTAAGTGGTTACCTATTACACATGGTACTTTTGGTGATGGTGGCATTATAAATAACAATAATCGTCTGGTTGTAACACCATTTCAGTGACCAGCTGTCATACCACTCGAAGGAAGCACGAGGGCTCAGATGCCGCCGGGTTGCCCAAGTCTTTACAGTAATGATCGACATGCAGAGGTTTGGTTTGAACGATCCGATCAGTAAGTTAGTTCGTTAACAATTGAGCTATCTCGATGGTGACATCCTTTGTAATGAACCCCAAATGAAGACTTGGAACTTAGGCGTCTCAGGGTACATGTTTGAAATCCTTTAGAAAGTTGTTTACAAGAGCCAGCAACTCATAAGCAGCACAGCAGCAGGCTAAGTGAAGAACCAATGACAATGGTAGGCATATTGGGATAGGTCAATGGAGTAATGCAAGAACCCTGTGAACGAAGGTGTCCATGAGACAGGGACGATAAGGTTGTCAGAGCAGCGAAAAATCGATCGGCTGTGGTTGACTAGTGTCTATTCTGAAGGAACACTTCAATCAGGAACGGAAACATACAGGTGTGTGACATGCAGGAGTGACATGCAGCCAAACGAAATTAAGGAACAATGTTGGTGGTTAGCATGGACCAAACAGCCGAAAGAAACTCGTCAAAAGACTGAATTGTAGACGGGGCTGAAGACGTGGTGATCTATGTTTTATATACATCCACGTAGTGCAAATCCACCTGAACTGGTGGCCAGCTCTGCCGGCAAATCAACGGTGATCACCACAATCTGAGGTGCCAAAATTTTTTTTAATTGTAAACCTGCAATTTTTCTATCCAGATCGTTTCAATTACAAAATAACCACAAAACTTGTTGGTCGTGATTCTAATTACTCGCTGGTTGTCAACAGCACAGCTTTACCTGCAACTTTCAAGAAAAAGTTTGTTACGAACCAACACATTTGAGTTCGAAATGAGAGCGTAGCATAAACCATTCGGTTGTGCACACAAGCATCGATACGTGAGACTGAGACAAATCACCTTTTTTATACAGTTCTTCAGTTAAATATGCAATACAAAGGCTATCTTATTGCTCATCTAGGCAGATGCTCTAGATATCGAATCACAAATTCCAGGAAAATTCGCTGAGTTTGACGCTCGTCGGATAGGCATCGCAACCCATCTTTGTTCACTCTCAACGGCATTTACTTGATAAGAGGCAAGAAGTGTCGAACAGTTTACATCCGGCAAACTGACGGGAAGATAATGCTCGGGTTTGTGTATCACCCACTCTCTCTATTCAATTGTTCTGAGCGTTACCTCCCTCATTCTATAGTATTCATGAAGTACTCCAACCACTCTCCTGATAGAGAAGTCCAGATTCATCGTTATGACCACCTTTCTGGAGCGAACTCAGTGCAACCCAAATGCCTTAAAACGTACGTCGCCGTTGTCCTGGTTGTGAACAAGTCATATCTTAAACTGGCATCAGCTGGATAACCAGAAATCGGTAAGAACGCTTTACCTCCGCCCCCTGAATTGACAAGTGGATGTAATCGCAGAGGAATGCTTCTCCATAGGAACGGTCGTTCTACGACGGCAAGTTGTCTGCGTTTCAGCCATATTGGTTAACCCACTGTTCTGTTCCACTCTGAACCCTATGGACTATGAAAAAATATTGGTTACACAGCTCGATCGGCAAGCACACAACAACTTGTATCTATCAAACTATGCAATTGATCTCCGTATTAGTTTTATGACACGGGATTCAATATACCTGACGAACGCAGATAAATACTTGACGTGCATCACAGAGGGAAGTCCCTCCGGGAGTTGAGTAGATGACTATCACTTACAGAACAAGCCATGGTAAAATAGCAATTGTTCAGCAATAAAACCATTTCAGTGTATAGCTGCCATGCCACCCGAAAGAAGCACGAGGCCTTGAATTACCCAACACTTGATGGTGAGGTTGGGTTCTAAACACGGAAGTTCGCACTGAGTTATCCCGAGCTCCACCAAGGGGGTCACGAGGAAACCAGAGGTAACAGACAAAACTTACCGCAATTTAAGCGAATTCAGATGTTGATTTGCCTGAGCGACGCGGATACTTGTGCGAATAAGATACGCAAAGTAACGATGACGTCGACGACGCTCCGAACGGAGGTCTGCTAACAAACCAGGGACAATAGTCTTGTGCCTTGACGGTGAAGGAGATTTGGATGATCGTACCTCTGTCTGGACTAGCTGGTCGTTCTTCAAACTGTCTACAAGGAGGCGAAACAATCGTCCAGTTTCTCGAATGGTGGTCACTAGTGCACTGTCCTGCAAAAGGAAAGGATGAAAAGGTTGGAAATAGAAAGGTCTGTACAGTACAGGCAATTTGTCAGCCCACTATTGGTAAATAAAGTACCTGATAAGCAATAGCTTCTGCAAGCAAGGCCTGAAGCACAGTGAAAAAGAATGCATCTTCCTCTTTGAATCCCTGAGACTGGAGGTGCGTATCACGTGCGGATGCTTTTAGAGCAAACTCTGCCTTGTCCAAAATCTGACGTCCGACGGAACCGATAATGGAGTTGGAGAATATTATCCTCAATCCATGTCTGACCTGTTCACGAATCGATTCAAGAGACTGTGTTGCCAGGGCAGACCGGGCATCGCTAGTCCAATCTCCGAACAAGCCAGTAGATAAGATTGAACGAGGGTTTTCGTTGCAATCGCCAGATGATTTTTCCTCAGTGGATAGAGAGAAATTCACGGTCATCCGGCGTCCCGAGTCCATTTTCATTCGGTAACGGGCCATCATCTGGTCGACAGATTCTTCTGTTGAATGGACAGAAAGAAACACGTCGGGAGGTATTCGAAGAGATTGATACACAACAAGTTATAACGTGCTTCATATATTCGGAAATCGAAAACAGGTTTCGTGCAACCATTTTCGAAAATAAATTGTGCTATCACCGGGATATGTGAAAATGGTTGATTGGCGATCGCTCAAAATCACCCTATATTCTCAGCTGATGAACCCTTCGTAAACAAGTAGGCCTCGTGAACACCTGACATTTCCAAGTTGGTGGAAACCCTACTAACTAGTAAACTCGGCCCCTAGTGAAGTTTTATTTCACTCGAGCACATCATGACTGTTTGCCGGAAAAAGACTCTATTAGGGTTCTGAAGTTGACTGCCAGTTACCCGGAGGTGTGCCTACTTCTTCATAGAAGCACCGACCAATTGGAACTGACTGTGACCCAGTAAGCACGAAAACGGATCATTAAGTGTACTGACCCCTCTGATCTTTTAAATACGGAATGTCCATCCCAAAGCATCGATCAATTGATTAGTCAAATTTGTATGAACAGCCGAACACGAATCAAGCCTGATTTTCACCAAGCAATCACACAACCCTTATTGAGCACAAGTGCTTCATTAAAGAGACCGTTGTGAACGCCCCGGCTTCCCAACCATTTGTACTGGTGTGAGCACGCACACGAGCGAATATTGAGACGGGAAGCTGAGCAAAGATCAGAGTAGTGACATACATCTGGCCTAAGGGGAAATTCACTCCAAACCAGCATTGCGACAAACTGCACACCAACATAGAGCATGGAAGTGGCAAACATATTTCTGATGCGTCTCAGTAGGTGATTCCTATCTTGATACTAGAATATTCCACCAATCTCTGGTATCGTCTTACTTGTCATGCGATTAGTGGTTAGCGGAGACTAAAATACATTCTTTTACTACTTCTGCATCCTACACTGCCAGAGGTTAAAACCACGCCCACCCATAGTTGATACACATCAACTTCTATCCGGAGTGACAAGCCAAAATTGTGTGGCAGTTGAGTGATGATGGAAACACACATCACTCGCGAATGCGTCATACGAACCTGTTCATTCGGCTACGTGTCAACTATCAAGTCAGCTCTCGTTGTCATAATGTTGGCCTAGCTAAATGGCCCCTTGTACTCCAGTTGAGCTTCCTTCGAGCTCCAAGCGAAACCAGAGTCACCCACGAAGGAATTCAATTTAGTTTTCATGGTAGACTCAACTGAATCTCTCGTTCATAAGATTCTTCGACTGAATATGCTGTACAAAGGCCGTCTCATCTTTCAGTTGGTACGATATTCGAGATATTTTCGAGTACGTTTGCATGAAGGCAATTACCCACAAGGTTGCTGACAAAAAATATGCGTAACGTCTGGGTTTTGTAGACTGGCCGCATCCTAGGCCACTGAAACCAACACATGATTGGTACAGGCAAGAAACGGGATAGGAGATACCACTTGGAAGATTTAGGGGTTGTGGATATACAGAAGTAACAAACCGCCTCAGTTGAAACGGTTGCCGTTGATTAGACTGGGACACAAGTGAGAGAAAACGCCAGAATTTGAGTAAGCCTTCTCTTGAGGACGCGACTTCCTGACAACATTAGGGTCAGAAAGAAGACAACAGGACGAATGCTTTTGCAGCTTTTCACACAAAAAAAACGACTTTCCTGCTCGAAAACTGATCAACCTTGTGAATTACGAACATATCCTTGGCCCTGCCAATGGTCGTTGCACTGGAATCGCGTACAACAATACAGTCCTAATAGAATAAAGAACAGGAACGGGATCGCCATTATTTATAGATCCAGCTCCATCTTCTAACAACAACAAAAAAACGACTAAGATTGAAGCATTCTGGGAATGAGTTTGCCAAGCTTTGAAAAGGATGTACAAACTGGTGGAGTTCGCCATGGAAGACAGAGGTGAGGTTCCCATCGGGAGCCCTAGGATTGTCAGGGATGCTATAACCGCGTTGACAGGAGTCGAAGAATTGTCGCATACCGTTTTGATCGCCTAAGTCAACCGAAATAAGGGGCAGGTGGTTGGCCAAAAGTCTGAAGTCTAGGGACAGTCGTGGTCCTGAGGTCCGGTATAAGAAACAGTTGTGATATAGAGCTGCTGATCGGAAAAGTCTGCCTTACGATCGCTAGTGTCCGTGCACAATCAACAAGATGGCCGGTCAGAGTTGTGGATCATCATCTCATCATCATCTATAGCATGACATCAGTGTTCAACACCGATGCTTCACTGCCGTACAACCATGATGTATTTGAAAGCCTTAATGTAAAGAAAAGAGTAAAGGTGGACGGGAAAGGAACTTAGTGCTAGCATACCACAATCATTCCGAGGTGCCCACACCTCCAACCACTCACTCAGGCAATCTGGATAGAAACTGACAACAAGAACGCCATTGACATCGGTTGGCAGCCATATC